CAGATAATTTATTGATGGGGTATTTTTTCCTTAACACAAACATCAATCTTTTCTGCCACCGAAGGATTCCTTCTTAGTTTAAGTCGATTTCGTTTGGGAATTGCCAAAATAGTTTTATTAGGGGTCTAGTCCGACGTGCTCTCGGTTATAGAACTGGTCCAGAGGTCGTATGCAGAGAACCTCATTTTCGCTTGAGTTGTCATATTGCAGTGGCGGACACTGTTAAGGCTGTACATTTTTTGAACGATGTTCAGGACCTTGGACCACAAAATTAAATAGTCTATGCGGCGGCAGTTAATTTCGTTCAATCTGAAAGTCTTCTTTACGATTTAGGAGAAATGGAGTGACCAGTTCGGGTTCCTTGCCCATTATCATCATCAGTTAGCCATATCCGACCGCAGGCCCGAACTCATGACCTGTTGACTAGAAGTCCAACGTTCTTACCATTAAACTACAGACTCGTTGCCCTGTCGGTATGGTTGACTAATTATGGCTAATAAGCCAGAAGTGCCACTTCCAATCCCCATTGTCGGTGATATCTTCCTACCTTCAAAATACAAATTATTTTGGCAAGCGTTTATCGAAGAAATGTGTGCTTAAGCGTCCTTTTTATGTCGATGGTCGTTTAGGTCACAGTTTGAGTGTCGCCACAACACGAAACTCCCATTTCAAAAGGGGAACGTCTACAACCATAATCAACAATAAATATGCTTCCAATCTATTGACAAACGTTCTCTCATCAATCACCTATTTTTTAAAAAAAGCTTTTATCCCACGCACGATCCAACAAAGTGACGAATTATTTCTTTTGAACGCTCTATTTCTATTACTAAAAAAAAATACTGATGTCTTTTGGCGGAAAATGAAAAAGCATACTTTTTTCCGTTACACCGAAGCCATTTTCGCCAACTTTTTGACCTTAGCTTATAGTGAATTCGCAAATGCCAGGACAATGTTGCCCGTACTCTATTCAGGTGCGGAACTAGTACAAAGTAGATCGTAGAATATGCTAACCTGAAGGCGCCTTCCTTAAAATTTCGCTAATGCTTAATATTTGTAATCGCCTGGTTGATTCGTTCTTATAAACGGTTTCGGTAAGGCAGGGAAATAGGAACCCTTCTCCACGCACGTCCAACGGGTTGTCTTGCGCCGAATTTCAGAAAGACCCCCTATTCCGTTTGCCTAACTCAAACCTTAATCCTAGATCAGTCTCCCTGGATTTGTGTGCAGTATCACCTATATTACGGGGGTGGCCTCTTATTCACGTGTTCTGTCACATTCTCATTCTGTCATTTCTCAATGACCTTTGCGTGATCTTGTTGATTTTGTGACCTATGACCTGAACCACAATCTTGATCCTCTACTAGAGTTCGACCGAGAAGGCAAATGGAGTTAGAAATCCAGAGGAACCGTCAAATCCGGATATCTACTGCCTCGTAAACCAATTGATCGCCTATCTGCTTGATTCCAGCGAGTCCAACCACCGTATCTACGATCTACTCGCTCGCTTTGCCTCGCTACAGCTCAGTAGTCATGAGTTCACTTGTCTCAAGTTCCTCGCCATCTTTAATCCCCACAAGCATGGTACGTTATTTTAAATAATATTGCTATTCTTATGCTCCTCATAACTGGCTTTGTCACCGATGTGCTGGAGCGAAACCAGGAAGTTGGAGGCTAAGCTGGCCTGCAGGTGTGAGATCAGATTAGCACTGCCGAAAAAGCAAAGAAGACAGAACTGACCGTTTCTGACTCATTAGCAGTCACCAGCCAGCCACACCCAACCCAGGCGTTGGGGCACTCGAGGGTGAACCCAGGACCCGTTGAATAGAAGTTAAGTGTTTTAACTCTGCGCCAGGAGCTCGTTGTCCTGCCGATTTTGATCGCTCTATATCGCTCACAGATCGGTTACAGGAAGAGTGAATGATATTGTCTCAGGTTGCGTTCTTAATGCACATGCCTGTAACGCGCGTTAAATGGGGCCCTT